CCGCACCGGCGGCGGCGCCGCGGCGCGCGGCCGCGACGGGAACGGGTCGACGGCGCCCACGCGGCCCCGGCGCGGGGGCGCGGGCGGCAGGTCGCCGACGCGGATCGCGCCGGCGTTTCCACCGCCAGCGGCCGCCGCCGCGTCGCAGGGGCAGGGCCGCTGCTTGAGGCAGGTCCGGCAGTGCTCCGGCGGGAGGGGCTGGTGCCGGCGCCGCGGGCTCGTCATGGCCTCGAGGGGCGACGCGTCGGGGACGACGGCCTCCGCGTCGTCGACGACGGCCTCGGCGTCGTCGTCGCCGCCGCCCATGCCGACGGTGCGGCTCCGGCGGACGTGCGGCGGCGGCGCGGCGCCGCCGGGTGGCGCCGCGGCGCCGTCGGAGGGGACCGCGCCGTCTTTCGCCTCCTCGGCGCCGGCCCGCGGGGGCGCGAAGGCGACGACCTCGTCCCAGCCGCCTTCGGATCCGCGGCCCGCGTCGTCGTCGCCGCCGCCGCCTCCGAAGCCGACGATGCGGCTCGCGCGCACCGCCGCGCGCGGCGCCGCCGCCAAGCCGTCGCCGGCCGCGGCGGCGGGCGGGCTCCGGCCTCCGAAGTCGTCGTCGTCGCAGGCGCAGGGGCGCAGGTGCCAGCAGCGGGGGCAGCGCTCCTTGGGCGGCGAGTCCGGCCCGTCCTCCGACGGACGCTCGTCCGGCCCGTCGTCCGCGACGCGCGCGTCCGGCCCGTCGTCCGGCGGCGCGCCGAAGGCGTCCGGCCGCTCCCACTGGGACAGGTCCGCGGCCTCGTTGGCGTAGTAGACGCGGCCGTCGTCGTCGAGGCGCTCGGCCCAGTCGCCGCGGCGCCGCACGACGGCCGGGTCGCCGCCCGCGGCGCCCTCGCGGGCGCGCGCGGCGCGGACCCAGGCGTCCGGCGCCCGCCAGGTCGTCTCGCGGCCGTCCTCGAAGTAGGGCACGCCGCTTTCGTCGACGCGCTGCGTCCACGCGGCGCCGTCGTCGCCGAGGCCCGCGCTGAGCGCCGCGAGCGCGCCCGCGGACGCGCCGAGCGACCGGCGGAGGTCGCGCGTCTCCGCGTGGGCCCGGAGCGCGGACCTCGTCGGCGCCTCCGTCGGCGGCGCCATGGTCGCGTCGTCGAGGAGGCTCGCGCGCTTGGGCCGCTCGTCGGGCGCGCCGGCGACGAAGAGCGCCGCGCGCTCGAGCGCGTCCAAGTCGAGCTGCACGGTCGTCGACAGGCGGTGCGCGGCGCGCGACGCGAGCACCGCGGGCTTGAGCGCCGCGCGCAGCTCCGGCGCCGCGTCGAAGTCGCGCGCCTCGTGGAGGTAGAGGGCCGCGGCGAGGCGCGCGAGCGCGTGCGTCGCGGCCTCGGCGCCGTGGAACGCGAAGTCGTCGGACGACGCGCCCGCGGGGCGGTCCACGTCCCCCAGGAAGGTCGCCTCGCCCTTGAGCACGGCCGCGGCGCTCCGCGCCGACGCCTTGAGGGCCGCTAAAGCCCGGGGCGCGTGGAGCGCCGCGTAGGCCTGGGCAGCACAAGGGTGATTCAACGTCGCTTCAACGTGAGTGTTCCGCGCGCGCGCGTTCCAAAAAAAGCATCCACGCTTCGAGACCGTTCCGAGAGATGATCGCTCGTCCAAAAATCAGCCGAAACGAGTGGAAAACGGCCGAGATAGGAGCCTTTGAAGTTGGGAATTTCGCTCTCTTGTCCTGCCCTGGCGTAGGCCGCGCGCGCGTCCGCGCCCTGGAGCGCCACGGCGGCCTCGAGCGCGTCCGCGGCGGCCTCGGCGAGGCCGTGGCCGCCCAAAGCCAGCGCGCCGACGCAGAGCACGGCCGCGCGCGCGCCCAGGGCCCCCGCGTCGCCCTCGCGGACGCGCCGGTGCTTCCGCGCGCGCGCGGTCGCGAGCGCGTGGTCCGACGCCACCACCCGGACGGCCTCCGTCGCCACGACGAAAAAGGCCAGCGCCTCGACCAGGGTCCGCGGCGGCTCCGCGTCGTGTTCCACTCTCTCCAACTCGCGCGCGCCCACGTCCAGCGCCAGGCGCGAGCACTCGAGGATGCCGTCGATGTCGTCCGCGCGGGCCTCGGCCGCGGACGCGGACGTCGCGATGAGCCCCCGCGTCGCCACGAGGACGCCGCAGAAGCGGAGCGCGGACCGCGCGCACCGGCCCGCGAGCGGCGAGTCTCCCGCGGCGAGGCGCCGGAGCCAGTCCGCCGTGCCGTCGCCGTCGCGCCGCTTCGCGAGGGCCCGCCGCGCGGCGACGGCGCGCAGGCCGTGGCCCTGGAGCAGCAATGATAGGGCGTCGAGGGCGACGCGGCCGCGCTCCGTCTCCGGCGCGTCGAGGAGGCGGACGAGCGTCGTCGCGCACCGCGGCGTCGCCAGCGCGTCGTCCGCGTCTTCTTCGCCGTCGTCCTCGGGCGTCGCCGCGGCGGCCTTGACGAGCTTGAGCGCGACGACGTCGCCCGTGGCGCGGTCCACGGCGTCGCGCCAGACGCGCCTCGGCGCGATTGCGGCGACGAGGCCCCGGAAGTGGCCCGCGAGGACGTCGTCGTCGTCGAGCACGTCGAGCGCCTCGCAGACGAGGAGCGCGAGGCTCACGTCCCGGGCGCCGGAGCCGACGGCGAGGTAGGCGGGCTGCGCCGCCGGCGCGACGACGGGCTTCGTCGCCGCCGCGAGCGACGACCGCCGGCTCGCGCGCGTCGACGCGCGGAGCCGGCCACTCAGCGTCCGCGCGGGCGGCGGCCGGTCCCCCAGGGGCCCCCGGTAGAGGCGGTCGAGGCAGTGGAGGCAGGGCAGGAGCACGCTCTCGCCGAGTTTCGGGGCCTCGCGCCGGTGTCGCCAGACCCGCAGCTCCGCGCGGAGCGTGCCCGCCAAGACGTCCCCCAACTTCGACGCGACGGACAGGGGCCCCCGGTGCACGCAGAGCGCCGCGTTGGCGGCGACGAGCCAGGGCCGGCTCCGGCCCGCGGTGACGGCGTACTTGGCCACGGCGCCGGCGACGACCGCGCCGCCGCCGGGTAAGGGCGCGACGCGCGTCGTCGCGAGCACCGCGGCGCCGAGCGCGTCCGCGGAGTCGCGCGCGCCGCCGTTCAGAGCGCCGACGCAGGCGAGGCCCAGGCCCTGGGCGCCGCAGGCCACGGCGGCGAAGGCCGCGGCCCGCGCGACGGCCGCGACGCATGCGCCGACGGCCGCGACGTACGCCTCGTCGCGCGGCGCGCCGCAGGCCGCGTCGAGGCACGCGGCGAGCGCCGCGGGGCCGCCGGAGTCGACGACCTCGCGCGCGGCGGCGGCGCGCTCGCTCGCGCTCTTCGACGGGCCCACGGCCTCGACGACGACGGCCAGCGCGTACTTGGCCAGCGGCGCGAACTTCGCGTGGGACCGCAGCTCCTCGACGGCCTGCCGCGCCTGCAAGGCGACGACCGTCGAGCCGGAGCGCGGGCGCGCGGCCGTCGTCGCCATTGCGGTGTCACGGCGCAGCCGACGTCCGGCCGCGTCGAAGGGCGGACTGGGCAACCATCGTGTCGAAGGAAGAACGTTATTGACGGAAAAGGTCGCATTCAACCTCATCAGTTGCAGAGGTCGTATTTTCACGGCATGGCCCGCTGGAGTCAGGCCAAGTCTTTGATGCGATGCGAAATTTTCCCTCGCACTGGGGCAGCCTAGGCTCTCCCCACAGACTCGCGGGTCGCTCCTTCGCATTTCGCGCTGGGGCAGCCTACGGGTCCGGGCAGCCCTAGCGGGCAGCCATGGCGCGCTGCGTGTGCCGCGTCGCCCTGTGGTGCATCGTCGGCTCGGCGCGCGCCTCGGTGATGATGCCGCCGAGCATGGCGCCGACCGCCGCGCCGACGGTGTCCGCCGCGCCGACGGCGACGTTCGCGCCGACCGACACCTGCGAGTACGGCAGCGCGTGGTTCGGCGGCGGCGTCGGCGAGCACTGCGGGACCCGCAGCGCATCCCCCGGGTGTGTCTTCCGCGCCCCGGAAAACACACCTCCCGCGAAATTCACAGCGCGAGAATCCCTGCTTCTCGAAATGAAATTAACACGTCCTAGTCGTCCTTCTTCGCCGTCTCGCCCTTGGGCTCCGCGTCGTCCGGGTCGTCCTTCTTCTCCTTCGCGTCCTCCTTCTTCTTCTTGTCCTCGTCGCTCTCCTCCTCCGCGTGGGGCGTGAAGGCGCCGACGAGCACGAGCAGCACGGAGAAGGCGCCCATGCCCGTGCTCAGCATGCGGTAGTCCACCATCTCGAAGAACAGGTCGAGCTTGTCCGTGATCGGCTTGATGAGCGGCGTGAACCACATGGGCCCCCGCGGGATGCGCAGGCCCTCGCCGCGGCCGCCGTCCTCGAGCGTGACGTTCTTGAGCCGCTTCGTGAAGTTGCGCAGGAAGTCGGAGTTCGTCTCCGTGACGTTCTCCGTGAAGTCGTACATGCGCCCGCGGATGAAGAGGAGGCTCCGCGCCTCCGTGATGTTGAAGCGCTCGCCGCAGAGGACGACGTTGATCTCGCAGTCGACCGTCGCGACGTTGATCCACTTGTCGTCGTGGCCGTCGAGCTTCGACGCGAGCTCCTTGAGCTGGAACTTGTCCTCCTTCGGGCAGAGCTCGGGGCAGAAGCGCACGAACCAGTCGCCCGTCGTCGACCCGGAGATGCTCTGGGTCTCCTTCTCGAAGGTCTCGTCGCCGAGCTCGACGATGCCTTCGCCGGCGGCGAGCGCCAGCCAGCCAGCCAGCAAGACGCACGTCTTCGTCGCCCAACCCAACATCGCGCAGGCTCCTCGTTCAACTCTCGCGAGGACGGCATCGTGAAGTGCACGGAGAGCGCGGCCTCTCAGTCGGTGCGCACTCGAGGCCCATGCTTGCGGCGTTCGCGCAGCACTAGCAGCGTCCCACGACCGCGCCGGGGTCGAAAAACCATGGCGTCGCTGGCGGAAAAGCCCCCCGAGGACGCGCCCATCGAGATCAGCATGTTCAAGGCCCCCGAGTGCTTCCTCTACAAGGTGCCGCCGCTGAAGATTGCGAGCGGCCACCGCGCCGAGGACTGGGGCCTCGGCAGCCCGCAGCTCACGGGCCGCGTCGAGATCGTCGGCGTCGGCACGACGGCCGAGGTGCGCGTCTTCAAGCAGGACGACGGCGCGAAGCCCGTCGCGGTCTGCCCCGTGCGCTGCGCCGCGGGGAGCCCGGCCGTCGGCGCGGTCGTCGACGACGTCGTCGACAGCAGCCGCTACTTCGTGCTGCGCCTCGAGGACGCGAAGAAGCGCAAGGCCTACCTGGGCCTCGGCTTCCGGGAGCGCGACGTCGCCTACGACTTCAAGGCCACGCTCTGCGACTTCAAGCGCAGCGTCGACCGCGAAGAGAAGGCCGAGGCGGACCACGCGGACTACGAGCGGCGCCAGGCCGACGGCGCGGACCCGGAGCCCGAGGTCGACATGTCCCTCAAGGGCCGCATCAAGATCAGCCTGGGCGACGACGACGGCGACCGGCCCGAGCGGCCGAAACGCGAGAGCGCGGGCCCGGCCGACGGCGCGGTGCCGCGCCTCGCGCCGCCGCCGAAGCCCGTGCCCCGGCGCTCGCCGCCGCGGCCCGCGCCGCCGCCCGCCGCCGCGCCGCCGCCCCTGGAGAACTGGGCGACCTTCGACGACGCGTGCCCCGCGGCCGACGGCGGCGGCGACGCGGCCGACGGCGGCGACGACGACGACGGCTTCGGGGACTTTGAACAGGCCTAAAATTTATCGATCGCAGTTGGTATGGAGCTCGAAGAGCACGCAGCTCTGCGTCCAGAGCGCCTCGCCGAATCCGGGGCTCTTGTGTGAGCGGTCGATGTGCGCGACAACAACGGACCTGTTCTCTTCGTGTTTGCGGTCGTGCTCACTTTGGAATTCGTCGTCGCATCCGATGTGTTGTATGACGATGGACTCGACATGCTTGCGCACGATGGCGACTTGCTCGGGCGTGAGCGAAAGCCCGAACCGCGAAACCAGCTCGGCGTCCTCGGGCCCCGAACTGACGGACATCGACTGACCTTTGGCATGGGCGCCTATCCAGGCATCCGTCGTTAGTTTGTGATGAGCCACGAGCCACGGGATTTCTTGCGAGAGTTGGACCTGGTTGTATTTCGTAATGAGTTTGAGCAGTTCATGGAAGCGCAGATCACAGTACGTGTGTGCCTTGATCAGCGCCGGCGTCCTCCTCATGAAGTCGTTGAAGACAGAGGTCGGCACGCAGTAGTCGAAGAACTCGTGGAATTTTTGGACGCGCGCCACGGACATTTCGGTGATCTGACTGGCGAGCACGGGATCCTGCTTCCACGCGTCGAAGTTGTCGTAGCCGCAGATCAGCTGGTCGAGTCTGCCGTCGTCACCGGCCATATTCTTGAGCAACAGTTTGCACGGGATGCTGAACGGCACGGCACCCTTGCCCGCGGCGACTTGTTGTCGTAGAACGTTGTGGAAGACGGGAACCCGCCATGGGTGCCACATCACGTCGTTGTCCAGGAACATGAGCCACGCGCTTGAACAGAGCTCCATCGACGCCTTGAGCAGGTCGTCGAGGTGCTCGAACTGGGACCGCTTCTCGTGGCCGTCGTCGAGGACGTGCCAGCGGATCGCGGGATTTTGGTCCGCGAGCGCGCGGAGGCTCTCGATCATGGAGCACGAACCGTTGCCCCCGCGTAGCGGGCCGCTGAGACTCACGAAGACGTTGAGCATTTCCGGAAGGCGCTGCTGGAAGGAGACGCTCTGGGCGCATCGTCGGAAGAGCAGCACGCGGCGCGGCGAGTCCAGGTGGCACGTCATGAGCACGTGCATCGTCGTCGACCCGGCCTCGCCCGCAAACGGCGGAGGCGGCGCCAGGTTCGCTGCTTTGAGGAATTGTGTCAACATCTCGTCGTAGATGCGCACCTCGTAGCGGTCCGCGTCGGGGTGGTACTTTACCACGCGCGCCTCGAGCCCGTTCAGCTCCTGTTGAGCTTCGGAGCTCAAATTCTCCACGCGCACCTGGTCTCCGCGCGCGAGCAATCGGCGTGTTTGCGGGAGAAGCGCAGCCATGTTGAGACTGCCCTGATCAGCATTCGGCAGCCATGCTGCGATTTACTTCGGCACCACAGCAACCCCGGCTTCAACAAATTGAGCTTCAAGGTCGCCTCGCCGCCCGGACACTCCCTCTAGACACGCAGTACTCACACGGATTTAAGTCAGGAGTTTCGCTCGATCTCGTCGCACACATCCCGATGTCCTGCCTTCCAGTCTATCTTCTGGCAGCCCCTGCTGCAGTACCTAGTCCCGCAGTGCGCGCACGCTTGGTATGGATGCGTGAAGAGTTCCCTGTAATCACCGCAGCAAGCGCACGTTCTCCGTTTCCAAGCGCGTTCGACACGTTCCTGTTCCGCGAGAAGTGCTATGAGTTCCTCGTGCTTGCATCCGATCATCAGGGAGAGGCACATCGAAGTCGGAAATCTTCTCGGGAAGTGGTCGCGGTCCGTGAATTGGAGTAAACTTTGGGCGTAGTCTGGGCCGCACGGCAGCAGCGGGTCGGCGCCGTGCTCGAGCAAAATCTTCGCGCAGAGGCATGCGTTCTTCTTTTCGGCGATGGAATTGACGAGGTGCAGCGGGGCCATGTCCGACGACATCTCGTTCACGCGCGCGCCGTGTTGCACGAGAAGCAGAACCAGCGCGGGGGAACCGATGACGACCGCGACGCCGAGCGTTGTGTTGGCCCCTTCTGGTCGCACATTCACGTCCGCGCCGCCCTTGACAAGCATATGTGCCATCATGAGGCACGCGGTTTGTCGCCCCTCGACTGTTTCGCGTTCGCCGTAGCCCGACTCGCGATGGTCGCCGGCGAGCTCTTGGATCACCATATTGAGCGGCGTGTGCCCGCGTATTTGGGTGCGATCGACGTCCGCGCCCCGCGCGATGAGCAACTTGATCGTCTCGAGCTTATCTTTCACGTCGGCGACGCGACACGAACGTCCGTCGTCAAAGCGCTGGCACACGCACGACGCGGTCATGTACAGGGCCGAGTACCCGGCCGGCCGGCCGGCGGCGTCGAGGACAACACGTCCGCCCAACACGTCCGGGTCAGCGCCGGCGTCGAGCAACAATTCGCAGAGCTCCGTGAGGCCGAAGGCCGCCGCTTGGTGCAGAACGGTATGGCCCGCCTCATCGTATTCCCTGCGATTGACCGCGCCGGCGCTGTACTCGACGAACAGTTGCGCGTCCAAAAGTTGAGATTTTATTTGTCCTGGGATGGCCGTCAGAATGTTCAGAGCCGATGACCAGCGTTTTGGCTTCGGGAATGAAGTGATGACCTCGCCCTCGCAGAGAACGTCCTGCGCAGGAACGCGGACGCCGTAGAGGGTGCGATCTAAGGCGCGGCCCACGTATAAATCGCCCCCTTTCCAGCTAGGCAGGGGTTCGATTAACGTGAGCTGCATGTCGAGCTTCGCATTCCCTTTCTTGGCACGCGGGCCTTTCGCGTTCCGTTTCGCTCCTCCCATGCTGCCTCGGCGAAATCGCGGCGGCGATGTCGCGCAGCGTCTTCAGATGATGTCGCGCGCGCCCGCGATGGTGGGTGGCCCCGCGGCGGCCCCGCAGCTATGCGACCGGATGACAGCGGCGCGGCCCCGCAGTTATGCGACCAAATCGCTGCCCCATACGCTGCCCGCAGCACTGCACCGCGGGGTCAACACCAACCGCACCCAAAGGTCCTTAGGCCTTGTAGGCCATGGCGAGGATGGCCGCGGGGATGAAGTCCGTCGGCTTGGGGACGTCGGCGACCTTGCAGAGCGTGTCGACGAACCAGATGGCGTTGGCGAGCTCCAGCGGCGCGGCGTCCTTGGCCTGCTTCGCGTCCGCGTACTGGGCCGTGACCGTCGAGCAGACGAACTGGCCGAGGTAGGCGAGGAGCTGCTTGCAGTAGGACGGGTGGCACTGCTTGAGGACCGTGTGGACGCCGACGACGACGACGAAGCCGTCGATGGGGTAGGACCGCTTCCGCTTCACGAGCGACTGGAGCCGGTCGTCGTGGCCGAGCTTGTGCGCGTACGACAGGAGGAAGAGGAGCAGCACGAGCGGCAGGTGCTCCAGCGGCTCCGTGGCCACGTAGACCTTCGCCAGCGGGTCCGACACGCCCGACGCATCCAGCAGCGTCGCCAGGTCCGCGAGCACGCGGCGCCCGTCCTTCGCGTCCGGCACGGGGTCCGGGACCGTTTCCGGGTCGCCGTAGTGGTCCAGCACGTCGCCGAGCACGGCGCCGTCGACGTTCGTCAGCGACGCGTGCAGGAAGTCGGCGTCGACGCGCGCCTTGAGGAGGAGCGCGTGGTTCAGCGACTTGCGCAGGAGCTGCGCGTGGCCGACGGCCAGGATCCGGTGCAACAGCCGCGGCATGGCCGCCTCGAGCGTCTTCGCCGCGCGCGCGTAGAGCTTGCCCGGCCCGCCGCCGCCCCGCGGCGGCGCCCACTCGGGGAAGAGCGCGTCCCGCAGGCTCTCGAGGAACCGCGCGTGCGGCGCGGTGAGCGCCTTGTAGTCGTCGACGAAGTTCGACAGGTCGTGGACCTGGGCAGCACAAGGGTGATTCAAGGTCGCTTCAACGTGAGTGTTCCGCGCGCGCGCGTTCCGGAAAAAGCATCTACGCGTCGAGACCGTTCCGAGAGATGATCGCTCGTCCAAAAATCAACCGAAACGAGTGGAAAACGGCCGAGATCGGAGCCTTTGAAGTTGGGAATTTCGCTCTCTTTTGCCGCCCTGTCGTGGACGACGCGGAACGCGAGCATGCGGTCGAGGCCCGCGAGGCCGCAGACGCCCAGGGCGCGCTCCGCGATCTGGAACGTGTGGACGCCGCAGGCCTCGGCGTCGCCGGGGTCCAGCCTGCCCTTCGACGACGCGCCCTCGAGAACGTGCGCGTCGCAGTACCAGCCGGCGCGCTCCGGCGCGTAGGACGTCGTCGCCGGCGACGTGAGCCGGAGGAGCGCCGCCAGGGTCCGGCCCATGAAGGTCGCCGCGCCGTCGTCGGCGCCGTGCGGGTCCGGTAGCGGCGCGAAGCGGGGCACGGGCACGACGGACGACTGGTGCCGGCTCTCCGCGTCCGCGACTTTGCGGCGGAGGTAGCGGTTGCACTCGGCCTCGACGTTGTAGTTGACGACGCGCCCGAGCTCCTCCTGCCACATCTTGAGGCCCGCGATGTCGATGTAGTCCTGGACGTACTCCACGGACCGGCGGTAGCCGTCGACGCGGCGGCCGAGGTGCGCGAGGATCTCGTGGACCTGCCGCGCGAGCGCCGCGCCGACGAACTTCTTCCGGTCCTGGTCCTTCTTGGGCACGGGGAACCGCAGCTGCTCGTGGAGCGTGCGGCTCAGCTGGCGCACGAGCTCCTTGCGGAGGCCGTCGTGGAGCACGCGCCGCGGCTCGACGCGGACGACGCCGAGGAGCGTGCGCTCCATGGCGAGCACGCCCTCCGTGAAGACGGACACCTGGTGCGTCAGCCGCGCGAGCTGGTAGCGCTCGTTGAGCTGGGCGTAGTCCTTGAGGTAGGCCGTCTCGAGCTTCACGGGTAAAGGAGCTAAGGTCCGCGTCTGGATGTCGACGATGTCGTCCAGGAGCCCGAAGACGGAGACGGGGATCACGTCCAGGACCCGCCGCACGAAGTTGACGAGCTCCGTCGAGTAGTAGGACGCCACGGACGCCTGGTCGCTCGAGTTGCACTGCGAGATGCGGATCAGGGGCACGTCGAGGATCGACGCGAGCTTGAGGAACGTCGCCCGCAGCAGCACCGCCGTCCGCGGGTCCCCGCGCACGCGGTCGTGGAGGATGGGCACGTAGTCCCCGAGAATGTCGAAGGCGTAGGACAGGTCCGACACGGATTCGATGACGTGCATCACCGAGTGCTGCACGTTCGTGATGCGCACCATCTGCAGCAGGAACTCGCGCGTGTCCGCAAGGAAGGCCTTGATCTGCAGGTTCGTGTCGACCTGCTCGAACTGCTCCACCTCCTCCAAAGCGCCCACGAGCGTCTGGATCTTCCGGCCCATCATCGTCGCGTGCGCCTCGTCGTCGTCCAACCGCGCCATCTCGCCCGCCAGGGCCCCGAACCACTTCATCAAATTCTCGTCGCGCGCGACGCGCGCGAGAGCCTTCTCGCCCGTGAAGTACTCGCTGAGCTCCGTCATGCGGTCGATGACCTGCTGCTTGCAGAAGGCCCACTTCGCGGGCTTGCTGTCGAGCAGGCTCTGGAACATCTGCTTGAGCTTGTACTCGAGCTGCGACGCTTTCAATAATAACGTCATGAGCGCCTCGGCGTCGCCCGGGCTGCCGGCCTTGGCGGCGATCTTCGAGCGCCAGCCGTCGTGGGCGCAGCGCCGGTGGAGCAGGCGCCAGCGGAGCGCCGCGTTCGACCGCCGCGCGCAGTCCAAGAGCGCGCGCATGTGGTCCAACAGGTGCTGCTCCGTGAGCTGGCCCTCCGTCAAAAAGCCGTCGAGCTCCTTGATCTGGCGGTGCACGAGCGCGTCGTTGGACGCCACCAAACGACCCACGGCGCCGTCCGTGAGCACGTTCCGTAAAGCCGCGGCCGCCGCGCCGTAGCCCGCCCACTCGACGCTCAGGTCGACGACGTGGCCCATGTAGACGGGCACGACCCAGTTGTCCGAAAAGTGCTTGTCGACGACCTCGCGCATGGCCGCCGTGCGGCCCTTCAACGTGTCGGCGTCGAAATACAGGATGACGTAGAGCATGGACGCCTGCGACGCGAGGCGCACGGACCGGTGCTCCGGCGCCGGAAACGCGGCCGACTGGAGGTAGACGTCGTCGCTCATGAGCCGCTGGATCACCAACTTCGCCGCGCTCGCCGTCGCGTCGGTCCGGAAGCGGTTGAAGAAGGCCTCGGGGTAGTTCTTCGGCCGCCGGCCGCCGCTCCGGTAGCCCGTGGACCGCGCGAGCCGGCAGACGTCGTCGACGGCCTCCATCGTCGACTCGCCCTCGAGGCGGTAGCAGGCGATGACCAAGCGCTCGCGCACGACGCCGGGGACCTTGGCGTCGAGCAGGACGAGCAACGTCCCGTAGAGAAAATAGGCCTCGCAGAGGAGCTGCTTGCCGTCAACGTCCTCGAGCACGTTGTCCACCGAGTGCGCGATGAAGTAGCCGCTGCCGAGCCGCTCGAGGAAGCCGTGCACGTCCCGCCAGTACTTGACCGTCGACTCCATGAGCGCGTAGAACCGCTTCGCGAAGGCGCCGTGCGTCTCCAGGAACTCGTTGTCGACGTCGAGGAGGCCGTCGCTCGAGTTCACCCTATTCTCAAAGTCCTCGGGCTCCTTGAGGTAGGCGAAGTCGAAGAGCACGGCCTCGAAGGACGCCTCCTCCGCCGTGAGCAGCGCCGCGCCGCGCCGCGCCCGCTCCTCGGCGTCCAGGAACACGGGCGGGATCGCCTGCGCGAGGCGCAGCAGCTCCGCGATCAACGCGCTGCCCGACGCGACGAGCGACAGCAGCGTCGCGCCGCAGAGGTTCCCGTCGTCGAGCAGCGACGGCGTCTGGCTCATCATCGTCGACCGGCGCGGCGCGCGCGCCTCGGCGCGGCGGCGTGCTCGGCGGCGGCGGCGGCGGCCAATGGCCAGCCGAATACGAGCGCGCTTTTTCAGCACGTCTCGTTGCAGTTTTTTTCCAGAGCCCGCCACCGGCTGTGAGAGCTGGTCGGGCCCGCGCGCGCTGCGGGAGGAGCTCGAGCGCTTCCTCGTCGACGTCGCGGCTCGCGATCCAGTGGAAACAGGCCCGCGGTCGCCGTCGCCGAGGCCCGCGTCCTTTGTGCGATGGAGGCTGCGAAGGACACGTTCATGGGCATGTGGCGCGCGCGCGTCCTCGGCGAGGAGGACAGGAAGGAGCCACCCGCGGCGAAGAAGGTGACCTTCGAGGAGGACGCGTCGCTGGCCGCCGCCCTCGACGAGACCGGCGACGTCGAGGACTTTGTCAAAGTGCCGGCGCCGCCGAAAGATCCCGCGGACCTCGCCGCGGCCGCCGCGGAGGCGGAGGCGAAGCGGGAGGCCCACGAGGCGGCGTACCGCGCGGCGCACCGGCGGAAGCTCGAGGCCCAGTGCCGCGCCAACGGCGGCGTCGTCTGCACGGGGGACGAGCCCGAGCGGCCGCCGGCGCAGCCGCCGAAGAAGGAGGCCTACGCGACGGTCATCACGAACGACGGCTACGCGCCCGGCGCCCTGGCGCTCCTCCAGAGCCTGCGGGCGTCGCGCAGCGCGAAGCCGCGCCTCGTCCTCGTCACGAGCGACGTCTCCGAGCGGTCGCGGCGCCTGTTGCGGCGCCTCGCGACGGTCGTCGACGTCGAGCCGATCCCCAACCCGCACACGCCCCTCGACGGCAAGGAGTGCTGGGCGCGCTGCGGCTACACGAAGCTCGCGCTCTGGGGGCTGACGGAGTACACGAAGCTCGTCTACGTCGACGCGGACGCCGTCGTCCTCGAAAACGTCGACGAGCTCTTCGCGCTCGACGTCGCCTTCGCCGCGGCGCCGGACATCTTCCCGCCGGACAAGTTCAACAGCGGCGTCATGGTGCTGGCGCCGTCGAAGGAGACCTTCGACGCCATGCTCAAGGTGGCCCCGGACGCGCGCTCGCACGACGGCGGCGACGGCGGCTTCCTCAACGAGTTCTTCGACGACTGGTTCGAGGGCCCCGTCGCCGGGCGCCTCGCCTTCCGCTACAACTGCCAGCGCACGCTCCACCGCTTCATGCACGCGCACAACGCGGGCTTCTGGGACGTCTGCAAGCCCATCAAGGTCCTCCACTTTGCGTCCGTGCCCAAGCCCTGGCAGGACCCGAAGCGGCGCGGCGAGCTCGACGATATCTGGTGGTCCTTCTACGAGAAGGGCCAGCCCCAGCGGCGCGGGGGGTCCCTGGCCATGCGCGACGGCCCCGCGTCGCTCGACCTCCGGGGCAAGGGCCCGACCGCGCTCCCGCTCGACGCCAAGGTCACGGCCTGGGCGCCGCGGCTGCGCGTGCTCCTGCTCTGCGGCAACGGCCTCCTCGCGCTGCCCGAGGACCTGGGCAGGTTCACGGGGCTGACGACGCTGGCGGCGACGCGGAACAAGCTCGAGAAGCTGCCGCAGGAGCTCTTCAACCTCGCGCACCTGGAGGTGCTCAAGCTCTCGGGCAACCGCATCCGCCACCTCCCCGAGGACGTCGACGAGCTCGGCGAGCTCAAAACCCTGACGCTCACGAACAACCGCCTGTCGGCGCTGCCGACGACGCTACGATCGTTGGCCAAGCTCTCGACGCTCGCGCTCGCGGGCAACGCGTTCACGGAGCATCCGCCCGTGGCGCTCGTCGCCGCCGTCGGCGCGCGCATCTCGGCGACGGGCGACGCCGGGCTCGCCGCGCTCCGCGACGTCCTGCTCGGGACCGCCGCGCGCTTCGTCGCGATCGGCGCGCAGTGCGACTGCGTGACCTGGCTCGACGCCTGCCGGAGCCGCAAGGTCGCCTACCCGCTGGACTGGGGCAACGCGACGCCCAAGACCTTCCGCTACCTCCTGGAGCGCGACTTCGACCCGGACGACTGCTTCGCGTGCGGCGACTTCGTGCCGTTGTCGAAGAACGAGCGCACGTCGCAGCTCCTCTGCGACCCCATGCCCCTCAAGCTGCGCGTCTTCGGCGACGACGCCGTGGACCAGACCTGCGTCAACGCCTTCCGGTCGAAGACGACGGCCGACGACGGGTCCGTGGGCGCGGGCGTGCATCGCTACGCATACAACGTCAAGACCAAGTGGGCCTCGTTCCACGACTTCCACTTCGACGAGGCCCTCGAGGCCCAGACCCGCGTCTTCGAGAAGCACGCGCGGCGCCTCCTGCGGCTCCACGCGACGCTGGCGTCGGCGGAGCCCGACGTGCTCACCTGCTTCGTCTATCGCGCGGCGCAAAAAGGGTCCTGCGGGTCGTTCATGAACTGCCCCCACAGCGGGGCGCCCCTCGACGGCGCCCTGGTCGAGGACTTGGTGGCGTGCTGCGACGCCGTCAAGGCCAAGTTCCCGGCCGCGCGGTTCAAGGTCTTGTACCTCTACCGCGACGCGCCGGACCCGGCCGGCCCGCGCCACGAGGACCTGCTCTGCGTCGACGGGCGGCTCGTCGCCGACGACGACAAGAGCGGCCTGCTCCAGTTCCTCCTCTGGCAGAGCGACGTCGCCTTCGACCTGCGGCCGTAAGCTGGTGTACTTCGCGGCCGTGGGCTGTGTTTACTTCGCGTTCTTCGACGACGGC